GTGTCTCACCCAACACATTTGCCGCCGCTGCTTGATGTAGTGGGAATGGGACCATTTTGACCCCAAGAGCTGCTCGTCAGAAAGAGGCAGGAAGCCAACCTTGTCCAAGGCCCTGTCTATGTGAACGCGAACACTATGCCGAGGAAACCAACACCCTGATGATCAGGCAATTTATTTGCTGACGGATGTATGAGTCGCAACTGCCCGTCATTGCTAGACTTACAGTCAATGGTCGGATGCCTTATTATGCTCTTTATCATTGGCGGAAAATTACAGAAAGAGGTGGATGCACCATGGCAGCACCGCATCCGGTAACACTGGGCCGGCATCGACGATAGACGCTTCGCATATTGCCAAACGGTGTGAGCGCGGGACAGAAGGGGTGTAGCTAATTGATATGGCCGAAGATCAGAATAATTCGCTCGATGATACAACATTCAATCAATTGAGCCAGATACGAAGCGGGAAGATCATGGGTAAAGCTCAGAGCACATTCTTGGATGTCGTAGATACCCGAGGTGTCCTGAATTCGAACTTACTAATGGCGCCGCTGGCTTTCTAACCTCATGGGTGTGCGATATTCCCTCAGCACGCAATGTCAATATTGCGACTATCTCGGATGACTATGGCACCGTGAGGTGAATGCTAACCATTTCGCACTCTCCCTGGCCGATTTATATCATAAGGCAGCTGCAGTGGTACCTAGTCTTGATCATTCGCATCTTCCAAGCAAGCGTATCAGGCCAGCTTATTAGAAGCTTCAGAGCAAAAGGCTGCAAAGGACTGAGGATTCACTGGCTGTCAGCCCCAACCTTGGGGGTAAGGCGTGCCACATGCAAGGGTCTGCCACCAACGTCAGAACAAAGTGCAGGGCTAGGGACCCTGTGGCCAGGCCAAGATCTTATGACAATCCCCAAGGTACTCTGTCATCCAGATAGAATATAATGACAACTCTTCCAAGTATGAAGCGGAAGGCAATATCTATCTCAAACACCATGTCTTCGTTCGATCCAACAAATGTAAACTTAGACACTGCCAGCGTGGAGGACATCTACTGCTACTTGCAGTTGTCCGAAAATGACTACAACGGGCATCTAGGGGCACGCATATCCGCGATATTTGTGATCCTAATAACATCATCAGCATCTACACTTTTCCCCGTGTTATGCAAGAGAATACCACGTTGGAATATTCCCTACCCTGTCTACCTCTTCGCTCGATACTTCGGTAGTGGTGTTATTGTCGCCACCGCATTCATCCACCTCTTGGACCCAGCGTATGGAAGTATCGGCAGCACAACCTGTGTGGGCGTATCAAATCATTGGGCAGAGTATCCATGGTGTCCTGCCATTGTCCTCGCATCTGTTATGGTGGTATTTCTGATGGACCTTGCCTCCGAGGTATACGTCGAACGCGTATATGGCGTGGAAAAAGAGCACGACGCGACCGATCGATTCCTAGCCCAAGCAAACTTGATCCAGAGCGACGATGATAGTACAGTAAACGACGATGCCGGGGGATCCAAGCAGTCTGGGGCTCAAGATGAAATTTGCGCCGTCGAATCGGAGCGCTCATTCCGCAAAGATATCGCTGCCTTTCTTATTCTGGAATTCGGCATTATCTTTCATTCGGTAATAATCGGATTGAACTTGGGAGTGACTGGTGACGAATTCAGCACTTTATACCCTGTGTTGGTCTTCCATCAAGCGTTTGAGGGCCTTGGGATCGGCGCCCGGATGTCTGCCCTGCGTTTTGGCCGGCATTGGTGGCTACCGTGGGTTCTCTGCATGGCGTACGGCCTCACCACGCCCATTTCGATTGCCATCGGAATCGGGCTGCGAACGACGTATAACTCGGGATCCAAGACAGCGAACATTGTCCAAGGAGTATTGGATGCTGTCTCAGCCGGAATTCTGATTTACAGCGGATTAGTGGAATTGTTGGCTCGGGATTTCCTGTTCGACCCCGACCGGACTAAGCGGCGGTCGCATCTGCTGGGAATGATCTTCTGCGTATTGCTGGGAGCCGGCATCATGGCACTTATTGGAAAGTGGGCATGAGAGGGAAGGGAGAGTATAAGAGTTAGCAAATACTACTTGATGGTTGTGGTTGTTGAGGGGGAAAGAGAGGAGGAAACCATGAGTGTTTAATTAAACATAAATTACTACGTAATATTAGTATGACATTGTTACACAGTCCCACCCACGATCGGTTTTTGCATTACCCGCATCACTTTTTGCGATAGGCCCCCAAATCGACAATCCTCTCCGTAGTCAGCGGTGGCTTTGCCTGCATGAACAGAGGCAGCAGCCCTGTGCGGTCGGTATAAAGGCCCCAGTCCTCTCCGTCATCATCACCGCTCTTCATCCACACCATTTCATCATGTTAGTTGGGCTGACCATGGAGACCCCCGGATCAGCCTCATTATTTACATTAGTTACTCTATCCTGAACAACACAACCCTACTTCGAACTATCTTTCGACTCACACTACCACCACCAACACCGTCGCTTTTTGGTTCCTGCCGCTATGGGTAAGCCTAAGCTGACACCGGAGCCCTTCGACCTGGTCGAACTTATTCAACAAACCTACGATGACTCCCGCATCATAGTCTTCGTTTGCCTCATATCTTGGATCGTTGGCCGCCTCGACTTGGGATTAACATGGTTGTTCTTCGTCCTGGCGGTATGTCGGACTTATGCGGTCGTTAACTTGACCCGAGTTCAGCGCATCCTTCGCGATGAATGCAAGCGATACCACGCACATAAAATCCTCTCCCGCGGGGAGACTGTGGAATGGGTAAATGGTGTACTACAACGATTCTGGCACATGTACCAGACTCAGATTTGCGACCATATTGTGCGTTACGTGAACAACGGGTTGGCGCGACGGGCCATTACTGAGAATGGAACAACTCCGCAGAAGGTAGTGATTCAATCTTTGGCTTTGATCGACCTTCCTTTACGGTTTACAAAAGTGCTTGTGCACCAGAAACCCTCGTCGCCAAACCTGATTGTTGAGGGCCAGTTTCAAGTTAACCTGGCACCGCATCCCACCCACCATCACCTTATCGAAAGCTCTGGACACCCTCTCATCGACCTTACGATTATTCATGATAAGAACTCGGGAGATTCTCACCACCGGAACCATGATTTGGCGGTGCAGGTACGGCAATTTAAAAGCACGGGATCCCTGAAAGTGGAATTAGACCTGGAGGGTGACCATCCAGCTCTGCTACAGCCACAGGTAGACCTTCAGGAGCACCCTAACATGGACTGCACCATCAAGTCGATCAGCCAGCATCATTTTCCGCTTCATTTTGCACATCATGTGGACTGGAGACGGGTGGTGGAACTGCAGTTGCGGGAGGGGTTGGGATGGGCATTTCACCGACCGCTGGCGCTGCCTTTCACACTGGGAGAGCGGTGGCTATTTCGGGTAATGACGTGGTGGTGGCATGCTGTGAACTAGTTGCACTGGCCCAACATTTAGGGCGCAGGGATGAGACGCAATAATTGTGCAGGTCATAAATAGAGTCGTCTGGAGAAGGGTCCCTGATTGGGTCGCTTGCCTCCCCGGGGGTGGGTGGATTTCCTCCGTAGGGCTGAGCTGGGCGGCCAATCCGAGACCGCCAAATGGTGTTGCCTTGTGTATTGCAAATACCACAGTACCGTCTTGGTCACGCTCGGGCAATCACATCCCTTACTTCATCCATCAAAGGGGTCCTTGAGATGCCTCTCCAAAGAATTTTCCAGCAACCCCCTCAGCCACTTTTTCAATCATTGGATGTCTTGTTCTATTTTTGACGGTGCCACGGTTGAATTTCCAGTGGTTTGACCTGGTCTGCCACACTCTACATGGCTGGGTAAATCCTCATCCGCGCAGTGTCCCTGAACCGGATTTTCAGATTCTCTGGGCCAGCAATGGTGGGGCTTGGATACCAACTTTGACTGTGCAACCGTGCACGTGAAACAATCTGATTGATTTCTCAGCTGCATGACCGTTAAAGAGACCACCCTATAGTACACCAGGTATATCACACCTGCCATGGGGTAGACATCCTGTACTAGTGCTTACCAGCGCTACCCCGCACACGAAGCTTCCGGAATACCCGGTTTGGTGTTCAGGACGAGTTAGGAATGAGACAAGAGAGTTGCCATGGTGTATGATTCAGTTTGATCATGTGGAACTGATTTACAATCAATTAAACATACATGAGACGCGGTGGCTGTTTGATCTGCGTGGTTATTTTAAGAAGTGTGTCCGGAGTATTGTGCTTTATATTTTCACATTCAGCCCGGTCAGGTGATATCGATGGTACTCCTTTCGTACTACATCTTTCTCTCTATCCCTCGATCTTTCCAATCGTTGCGGGGCATAAAAAACCATTCACATCATCAATAGTTTAGATAATCCCCCATTTATGGAGCTGTCACTCGCAGGTCATTGTGTTGTATGTCCTCTTCCAAATTTCCAACATGTTGTCGTCTGAGCCTGTTTACAGGCTGCCTTGGTAGCTCTGATTAGCTCATGATTTTCGTATCAAACTGTTTGACACATTCTAGCACTGAACCTGGTATTGAACGTTTAGTGGTAAAGTCAGGTGGATGAAGTTTCGACAGCGCATCCCCACAAATGCAGCATGCTTTCGGACTTGGACGGATCGCCGATGGCCCGTGGGTGTGGCGTGCAAGTTTATTCACCTCAATGCAGGTTAATCTTCAATATCATAGAAAGATTACCCATACACTCCGAGTGAAACCCAATTATAACAACGACGCTTTGCAACTTGGCACCTCCTTCAGTGAGGCTCCTGAACGCGGTGACAGGGGATGTTGGGGGCTGAAACTTGCGCCTCTGACACGGCGTCATCATTGGTCCAATTCCCTAGCCAGACGCTAGTCGCGTCTCCCCTCGTATTGGCGTGATCACTCCTTACTTATAAATAAGCCACGCTATAACTCCGCACAATTCATGTCTGCTCGACTAGTTCGTTCACAATGCCTGGAGAGCTCATTGTGCGAACTGAAAGTAGACAGCGACGCAGAAATACTGGGAAGAGATCTAGAACGGGATGTCGAACCTGCCGGTTAGTGTATTGTGGTGTCCTTCCACGAATAATCCACGTCTGACCTTGAGCTTAGGGTACGGCGCATAAAATGCGACGAGGCACCGGAGTCCTGTAGGAATTGTACTTCTACGGGCCGAGCCTGCGACGGATACGATCTGCACCGATTCCCCATCAAGCGGGCATTATGTCTCCCAACCCTAGGAACAGGTGCTGAAGGGATCATGTCATCCGATGAAAAACGAGGGTTTTCGTACTTCCAATACCGCCTTGTCCCCGACCTTGTTGGCTTTTTTGACTCCTGGCTCTGGCAAAAGTTGGTCCTGCAGATGTGTCATTCGGATCCAGCGGTATGTCATGCTGTCAATATGGTAAGCGCGATTCACCAAGATGCCGAGGAAAGAGGCATGCGACTGGCTGGAGAGGATTTGCAGAATTCGAAACACCGCTTTGCACTTGAGCAGGCTGCACGATCTTTCGCACATTTACAGAAACGTCGGGCCTCTCCCGACCCACAGTTGCGCGAAGTCGTGCTGGTGTGCTGTCTGCTATTTGTTATGGCAGAGCTGCTGTTGGGCGAATTTGCCAGAGCCTTCATACACTTACGTGGTGGGACACATATTCTAGAGGAGTCGCTACGCCTTGGGATACCAGTGATTCCGTGTCTGTCTGAAACACTCCGCGTCTTGAATTCCCAGTCGTCACATGTTGGGGGCTTCGAGCCAGAACCAGGCATTCAAACTGAGGAGGAAGTTGAACGTGATATCGAACTGTCAGAAGACTTTGGCAATCTGAAAGAAGCCCGACGAGGCTTCCAACGCATCATGTATAGCGTGATCCCGTTCATTGCCACGGCTTGGAGACTTTCAGAAACAGAGATACTAGCGAATTACGAACCCCTGTGGACCAAACGACAGAGGCTATTATCCTCGCTGGAACACCTTGCAGAGCGATTTGAACTGTTTTATCAACAAAAATATGCTCATCTTAGCATGAAAGAGCAAACAGGAGCGGATATCGTGCGTCTTCAGTTGGTTGCCAAGACAATCGTACTGAAAACGTGTCTGCTCGACGCATACGATCACAGATTGCTCACATTGGAATACGGCAATCTATTATCAGGATACGAAACTTTCATGGACAAATTCCCCTGCCGTCCCACTATTACACTCGATTACGGACTGAGCTTCGGGCTATTTGCTGTGGCATCAAAATGTCCGGACCTCGGAATCCGTATTCGAGCTGTTGATGCCTTGCGCAGATGGCCGCATTACGAAGGCATGATCAATTCCAACGCCGGGGCTGGAATAGCGGTGGAGGCGATCAAATTGGAGTTGCATACGATGCAGCAGGATGATGCGGAGCGTGTGTCTTCGATGGATCAGGATCCTGACGTAAGCTTTTGGGAAATGATCAGAAGCACGCAGAATGGGACGCAGTGGCCAGCTGTACGTGATGTGGAACTGCGAATGAAAGAGACTAGGCGGTTGTGAGACTGGTATGGAATAAGAGCGTAGTATTCAATTTACCCTCATGACTCCGTATTCCAGAAAACACTGTCTATGCGTGATATAGTCTAGCTGACGTGCCTACTACGGATGAACGGGACCACACTGTCTATAGACTCATATGATTATGGGTATACATAAGACATAGACGTAAATCCAGCGGCATGAGCCGACAACTGTCTCCACTCCAATCCACTCAACTGGTAAATGCGCTACACAAATTCCACCTCTTCATCTACTATCTAAACAAATAGTAATGTCACACACCACCGGAACCAGTATCTATCAGACCGTCACAACACGTAACCCCCCTCCCTACTTAAACGACCTGGTTGAAAAAATTCTCCACCTGCTCGTCCACAATCTGGGGGCCAATATAATAATTAACCTTGGTGCCATTCTTATAACCCACGGTAGCTGGGATGGCAGTGAAACCCCATTCCTCGGCCAGCTCCGGGTTATCATCGGTGCTCACCCAGGCCAAATACACGGAAGGGTACTTGGCGGCACCAATTCTATAGTTTGATGAGTTTGGTTAATACCAAGCAGTCACTGGGAGATGGCTTAGGGGGGCAATTGGTGAAGGGGGGGGCGGGGAGGGGCAGGCGGCGTTACCTCTCGAAGTTGCTCTTAGTCAGTCTGCCAACGTCACTCCACACTGCCGTGAACATTAGGATGAAGGAAGTGTGGCCGCTGATGGCATCTTCGATTTGTTGTTTGCTGGATGGGAAGACAGAATCTTAGGTCATTATTCTTCGGAGAAGGTTTCCGGCGAGGGTAGGAAGTGTACTTACCTGGTGAGCTGGTCCATTTCCTTAGCCATGATTTCTTCTTTTCGATGAGAAGAGTCTGTGAGAAGGTTCCGTTTGGATAGAAGGGTTGTCGTTGGTTATGATGGTGGTTTTCTAGTGGGTCTGGTTCATGGGAGAAAGATGGGAGGAAAGTGGCTCCATTTATTTCGGAGGCTTTAGGACTTCATTGCCACCCACACCCACATGCCACTAAGTCTCTGTGTGATCAAGATGAAAAAGAAAGCTGTATACTCAGCTGACTGATACGGCGATTTACCGGCGCCATTATGAGACGCGATTGTGTAACGAGCAAACAGTTTATGCGAGGTTTGAGAACGCAATCACGATCCTGAGACCACGCTGGCGTCCCCAACTAGTGGCGAAACCGGAGTCGCATTGGCAGAAGGATCATGATCTATCACGTACTAGGGTCCATCATCTCATCAACGTGATTCTAATTGCTTTTTTCTTTCGGAGATCGTGCAGATTTTCATTTAGCAGGACTCTGCTATGACACACGAGATCCAGCCGATTGGTTGACTGGAGGAGAGGCACCCTTGCTGTCATTCCAACGATGTGTGGATGTTATACTCTTTGGGACGAGCCTTCATCTCGAATGGGTGCAGATCTACACAGCTGAGCACAGCCAAGATGAGCTGCTGCAGAACCCTGATCATCGTGGCTTCGTCCATACGATCGCGTAAAAGAGGGGTTGTTCTCGGCGTGCATGAAGGGTTACATGACCAAGTCCATCTCCACCTCAGCTGAAGTCCGAGCTGAAAAGATGAGTGAAGCTAATGCAAGCTAAATAAATGGCGGCGTTGGACCCTGGCCCAAGTGGTCAGATGTTGTTAACCAGTTAGATCGGAGGGAAGCCTGTTCCATCTACTTCCTGCAATCTATCTTTAATCTATTCAACATCCTGGTATACGAGACATGGTTACATCCCTGGATAAACCCTGCTGTACAAGGGCTCGAATATACAAAGTCGTCGTCATCAATGTCTGTAGGTGCGCTGTTTTGGCAATACGAAATGAGGGGGAAATTCGCCTCCGGGAGACATAAATAAGGGTCGATGGAGCCGTGGAATCAATCTCTTGATCAGCAACAGCAACAGCAGCAGCAATCTCAGAACATCAATTTTATTACTTAAATTCTATTAAGGTGCTTTGAGTTCATTACCTTAATTGTTCATCATGACACAGTCGGCCATCAAGTCCGAGGAGTCGAACCCTCCAAGCCTGCACATCATCAAGCAGTGGAAGGAGGTCAAAGAGAGTCTGCCCTTTGACGACACTCAAGACTTTGTGAACGCTAAACGGGGCTGGAGAGGTAGCCTCGGCGACCCCAACCAGGTCATTGATGCTCAGGGCAATGTGGTGTGGGACAACGTTGCCTACGAATTTCTGAAGGACGACGCTCCATACTCGGCCAATCCAAGTCTGTGGCGCCAGTCGCAACTAACTCGCATGAATGGACTGTACCATGTCGCCGGACCCATCTACCAAGTGCGCGGGCTTGATCTCTCCAACACAACCATCATCGAGGGCGATGAGGGCATCATTGTCATCGACCCTCTCACTTCGCAAGAGACCGGCGCTGCTGCACTCGCTCTCTACCAGAAGCACCGTGGCACTGACAGAGCCGTCAAGGCTGTCATCTACACCCACTCTCACGTTGACCACTTCGGCGGTGTCAAAGGCTTCGTCAGCGAAGACGATGTCGAGAAAAATGACATCAAGATCATTGCCCCCGAGGGTTTCCTAGAGCATGCTGTGTCCGAGAACGTCTACACCGGTACCTCAATGAGTCGCCGCGCCGCGTACATGTACGGTGCTGCCCTCGAGCAAGGACCAAGGGGCCAGATTGGCGCTGGACTTGGACAGACTACCTCAACCGGCGTCGTCACCCTCATTGCACCTAACATGACCGTCAGACGCACGGGCGAAAAGAGAACCATCGATGGAATCGAAATGGAATTCCAGATGGCACCGGACACTGAAGCGCCTTCTGAAATGCTCATCTGGTTCCCCGGCCTCAGCGCACTCTGCGCCGCCGAGGACGCCACGCACACCTTCCACAACATCCTGACCCTGCGTGGCGCGGTGGTCCGCGACCCTCACTCCTGGGCCAAGTACCTCACCGAGACCATCGACCGATACGGCAGCCAAGCCGAGGTCGTCTTCGCCCAGCACCACTGGCCGACCTGGGGCAACGACAACATCTTGAAGTTCCTCACATACCAGCGTGACCTATACGCATACGCGCACGACCAAACCCTCCGCCTCCTGAACAAAGGATACAATGGCCCCGAGATCGCCGAAATGATGACCCTGCCCCCAGCTCTTGATCAATCTTGGTATTGCCGTGGCTACTACGGCTCGCTAAGCCACAACGTCAAGGCCATCTATCAGCGCTACGTCGGCTGGTTCGACGGCAACCCAGCCCACCTGTGGGAACACACCCCCGTCGACAAGGCCAACCGATATGTGGATCTCATCGGCGAGGACAAGGTTCTCGAAGAGGGTACCAAAGCATACCTAAAAGGCGACTACCGCTGGGCAGCTGAGCTTCTAAGTCACGCCGTCTTCAATAACCCGGACAACGAGGAAGCCTGCAAGAAGCTAGCAGACGTGTACGAGCAGCTCGGATACGGCGCCGAAAACGGTACCTGGAGGAACTTCTACATCTCCGGAACGACCGAGCTACGCAATGGCAATTTCGGCACGCCTACGCAGACGGCTGCCGCCGATGTGCTGGGTCAGCTTACCCCGGATATGGTCCTTGATACTTTGGCTATCAAGATTAATGGGCCCGAGGCGTGGGATAAGAAGGTGCTTATGGATCTTGTTGTTTCGGATCAGAATAATAAGACGTACCATTCTTGGCTGTCCAACGGGGCGCTCGTCTACAGTACTGCTGACCAGTCCAACGCTGCTCAGGTCACTCTGACTGGTACGGCTAAGCAGTTGACAGCGCTCGCTGTGTATGGGCCTGATCCTGATGCTTTGGCGAATGCTGGTATTGTGATTGATGGTGATACTACTGCGCTGGATACGCTTGCGTCATTGCTGGATCCGGGTGATCCGAACTTCAATATCGTTACGCCTTAGGTGGTGGGACTGGCTTACAATGGACTGAGTAAGAGGCACAGCCCATCGTTGTTATTAGTTTCAGTAAATCAAGTTTTTTGCTTCTTGGATCCATATAGTACTTAGGATAAGCAAAATCTACTAGTATTGTCTAGGATCAATTGTTATCAAATATTTGAATATAGTGACAATGTTGAGTTTATACTGGGCAGCACACATTCTTGAGGATAGTCGCAAGTACTCTTCGTTTCTACCATCTTCGACCATTGTCTATTACTATACTATAATTTTGACCTTTCCTATCTAGTTTTAGTCCCTGTTATTTTCTAAACTTTCCCCCAACAGTTACCGTTACTGACGACGGACTGGTAGGCCGCAATTAGTAGCATGAACATTTCCCCTCTGAGATAGAGAAACCTCCGCACTAAATTTGTCGCTGGGCATGTTTACGTCCCCTTGAGCTACTAGGAGTCGTGACCCTTATGGTGGCCATGTTCCTGATTAGCGAATAGTGAGAAAGATGACGAGCACTAGTGCGTGAGATCCGGCTGGATGCATCCTGTGCATATAGTCTCTATACCATTGAAAAGCTTCTTGACGTAAGAAATATTAGTAGTATTAATTAAAGAATGAACAGATGCGGTCGTGACAGTTTAAAGTACTAATATCATATCATCTAGGTACAGGATACCGCACCCTCCACGAATACCGTTTTATCATCTTAACTCCCTCCCAATCCCATCGGTCACGCGCATCGAGCTCAGCGTACTTAAAGAGCCATTCCACCGCTATCCACGGCTCACGCCGGGCCTCCATCTCCTGGAATATCATCTCATCCAACACAGAGCTCACACCAACAGAAACTGCGGTAGTGGATATATAAGGATTGTATCTCTCGCAAGGGCTGCGCGGTGGCAGGAGATGGGCGCCGCGATCGACCAGCATTCGCAGGCGGACGCGGCCGGTGTCGCTATCCGTATGCATATTGTAGTGATAGGCCACGTGTGCTAATGCTGTCTTACGGCCAATGCGTTCGTGGATGCGTTTGTTTATGTCCAGGCCGTGTTGAAGCAGCAGATCGATGGTTTCGGCGGCGTCTGCATCGGTTGCAGCTGTACATGCTGCTTCAGCGATCAAGTTGACAGTGGGAGACGATTGGGCCACCGAAAAGCCTCTGTCTAGCAGCCACTGAAGTGTCTCAATCTTCCCCGTAGAGGCTGCGATCGCGAGGGCCTGCTCGCATGCGGTTTTGTCCAAGTGCTCTGGGAAGAGGTAGCTATTCCATTTCCCCGTCCGGACGAGCAGATCGAGAACAGCCGCCCCCCCTCGGATGGCTTGGTGAAGAAATTTGGCCAGATCCATATGGCATGGCAGATCAATTCCCTTATCTATCAGCATCTGGACTAGTGCAGTGCGGCCTGATGCCAGAACGATAGCAGGTAAAGTATCACCTGGGCGGTCTACGGCGGTAGGATCAGCCCCGGCGGCAAGCAAGTGACTGAATATGCCCTCAAAGGGGATGGCATGTCTTAATGCTGGATAACGGTCCTGTGCATCCTGGTCATTGGGGTCTGCCCCAGCGCTAAGTAGCATGGAGACCATGGCTTCCGAGCCCTGCTTAATGGCCTCGATAAAGGGCTTCCGCATATGCATCAGTCCTGGCGATGGAGATACCTCTGCACCGTGATCGAGGAACACCTGGACCACCTCGGCGTGACCTCGGACTACAGCCCAGCAGAGGGCAGTCGGGAGATCATCCAAAATGAACATTTGACCACATCGAGAATTTGGGTCGTACCCATGGCACTCAAGTAGCTGCCGAACCAGAGCTGTATTCCCGCGCGCCGCGGCTACGCACAGCAGCGCAGCCTTGTTTGCGGGTTCAACGGTGCTAGCTAGGTAACCCCATCGTTCAAAGAGAAGATCAACTATGTTGTCGCATTTCAAGAGTGCGTTTGACGTAAGGGGACACAACGTAACATTATGGGACGACGGCGATTCTGAGCCGTGGCAGCGGGTTAACTGGTCCATCACGCCTGCATCGAGCAGATACCGAACACATTCGAAGCGACTCAGGCGCGCTGCCCAACACAAGGCGGAGCATCCATCCGGTGCCGTGGGGATAGTAGAATCGGCTCCCCGTTGAAGCAGGAACCGCATGACCTCGAGGTGGCCCCCGCGCGCAGATAGCACGAGGGGAGTCCAATATCCATGATCCCGGGCGTCGATGTCTGCTCCCGCATCGACCAGCCACCGCACAATGGCTAGATGCCCCCCTGCAGCAGCTTCCATAAGGGTGTTCGTCCGTCCGAGTCGGCAGGGTAATCGACATGGTACGGCCGCGGCAGGTGATCCATGAAGAAGCGGGCCAGGGCTTCATGGCCATGTACGACGGCCAGCAACAACAGACTTCCAGGGCTTTTGTCATAGGCCTCATGGCGCGGATTTAGCCACCTACGTTTGTGACGGATGTCGACTCCGCCCTGCTCATACAGATACCGGACAATGGCTTCATCGCCCTCTATCACCGCCAACGCCATGGGTCGCCAGAGAGTGTCCGGATCACACTTGTCCGCCGACGCACCGGCCTCCAAAGACTTCTGAACAGTCGCGAGGCATTTGTGCTCGATTCCCCAGGATAATGCAGAGCTGTTATTATGGTGTACATTATGTCGATACAGCATGGGATTCACGGCGCGGTAGAAGTTTCCATGTGTGCGAGCGAGGGCATTGATATCATTTGCACATTCAAGGTAGCCTACAATCTGTTCAATGAGCTCAACTGGGAGACGCAAAGCTGTCATAGTGCCGTTGGAAAGATCATTACGGGATGTTTCAAAGGACAATGCTGTGGTTAATTGTTTGATGATTGGGGATGTGGCAGAAGATTTGGGGAAATTGGGATAAATTGGGATTGGATCCACTCCAAAGTGGGGCTAGATCCCTATCACGAATAGTATCTCGAGAATGCATCATAAAAAGACTTAGAGAAGGTTGGCAGGTATGGTTGAGATACTGGCATAGGAGAACTTGGTGGTGTGGATGATCTGGATGACTTGCGAATTTGTCCCTGCACGTATCATGATATCGGCGTATACAATCTAGCCAAGGTAACAATCTCGTTCAACCACGATAACTCTACATCACAACCTATAACTTAGACAGCGCCACATGCCAGTATATAGGCTTGGATGACTAGAAATTCATGTGCAGAGAGTCATGTATACATAAGGGATAATGAGTGATCTTATCGTGCCCCATGACCGATAAGCGGATTTTCCGTGCGGGGTGATAACCGATGGTCCCCTGCCGAGATAGCATTGCTGCCTTTCACTTAACATAAAGGAGGATCTTTAAACATTTATTCCTCTATTTTCCCGCTAGGAAACGCCCAATAAATAAGCAATAAACAATGTCGGTTAGCAACGCAAGTCCAGGGATTTTCGATCACATCCCTATCATTGACCTCTCGGCATTAGGGAGTCCCGTGCTGAAAGAACGCCAACAGCTGGCAAAGGAGATCTTCACTGCCTGTACGCAGGTCGGATTCTTCTACATCAAGGTATGCTTCTCCCTTAGTCGGTTGGATGGAGGCAGAGTACCTGAGTATGACACAGAATCATGGAATAGCTGAGGACCTCATCACTTCCCTCCACGACATGGCGCGTCAGTTCTTCACTCTGTCGCAGAAGCAAAAGATGGAATATTATATTGGAAGATCAAGGGTGGCCTTCACATCTCGCCTTTGAGCGACAATATACTGATCCTTGATTTAGAAATTTCGCGGTTTCATGCCACTCTATTCAGAGAAGCCAACTGACACGGATCTCGGGGCCGCTACCGAGGCAGACCCTGCCTCACCCGGAGCCTTTTCCGAATCCTTCGATATCGGTTATGAAGTCGCAGCCGACTCTCTGAAGAGCCAACATGATGCCCTTCCTCCAGACACGTATGATCTGTATGGGGATAACCAATGGCCTGAGGAGGATGTCCTTCCTGGGTTCCGCGAAATCTATCTTCGATACTTTGCTGAGGCGTTGACCTTATCTCGGGCACTGATACGAATCTTTGCGCTAGCACTGGATTTACCCGAGGACTTCTTCGACCCGATGGTCAAGAACCCCGGGGCTACGTCGAGGATGTTGCATTATCCACCGCAGCCGGTCGCGGGCGAGGTGAAAGTCGGACTCGGGGAACACACGGTAAGTAAATGCCCGAAAAGACGAAGCGAGGTGCGTACTGACTGGGAAAATACCTGTTCTTCAGGACTATGAATGTTTCACTATACTCTCACAAGATCGAGTCCCGGCTTTGCAGGTTCTCAATGCTCGACAGGAATGGATCCTGGCGCCGCCCATTCCTGGCACGTTGGTAGTGAACATCTCGGACTGCCTGTCCATCTGGTATGTAGTGCTGTCTTTAGTAAATTCCAACATCTTGCAGGGTATAATAATGTGTACAGGACCAATAAAAGGTTCAAATCGACCATCCATCGCGTCACCAACCTGACCGGACAGGAGCGATATACCATCCCCTTCTTCTTTGGTGTGGACTATGACACCACTGTGGCGGTGCTGCCGAGCTGCATTACCGAGGATAGTCCTGCGTGCAAGAAGCCGTTCAAAGCGGGGGAGGTAAGACGAATTGCATGCTTCACGTTCTTCCTTCTCAAGGAACAGGCTAATTTGGTACGTCATAGTGGGTGCGCCACCAATTGACTACAGCCTATGTTGGATACGAGCCAGAGCCGCAGACCCAAGGGAACTAAGACCATTGTGCTGGGACCAAGAGGGGCTGGAGAAGATGCATTGTGCAGATCCCCTAGCTAGGCATCTTGCACGACATAGATAGTGGCTAAATATAATTCCATCATCACAGCTCTTTGGACCAGCTCCAAAATCATTGCGCAGCATTTTAGAGTGTGATTTCTTCTTCATCAGTGGACAAATGCACTATCAAAGTGGTTCACATTTTATCATCGATAGGCAACATCGCATGGGGGTTTCAGCCCAACCCCTATCGTATTCTCATAATGTGACAATGCACCATTGACAAGGTCATTGGGTAGAAAAAAGACCTCAAACTTGGGCTATTGCTCAGCCTCATCGTGATAGCCGACGCTGATGATCGTCGAGGAAAAAGCAAATACACAACGCCAAAGCAATATCCGCAATCTTGCAGCGGGATTGGCTGATCGAGTGAACCGGCACGATAAGGGAGCATCCGTGCTTCAGGCTACCCCTGGATTAGAGATTCACTTGGTTGCCGTATCTCGCGCCATCGATCTTGGGGAAGCCCCAGTTGAGCCATACAACACATACATAAGGCTGGACATTCATGTGCAGAACAGCCAACAGAATCAATGAGCAATGCCCACTCAAGCAACCGAGACACAACATGGCTTCATTGTGTTTCCGTCCCGTTGGGTTCACATCTTGTGGAAGTCTCTCACACTGTACACTCGATCATCTCTATCCTATACTTGGAATACTGGTGCGCGATCTTCGCACTAAGTATACGCAACGACCACCTGCTCAAGCACGCGATCCATATTTGCTTTTTCTAACCATCTCTTTGGGAGCACGGCCGATCTCCACGGCGTTTCTGGGAGTGGGATGGCCAACTCCGCGGGCGCTTGAAGTTCACGATAGGAGGTGCCCGATAGTAGTTGTAATATCTATCTTGCAATGTCCCACCTCTCTCCTGAACATTTGATCTTCTTTCTTCTCTTCAAACAGATGCTGCAGTATGTAACACGAGTGACTTGATATCTTCACTGCTGATGGAGCACGCTGCGCTCTCCGCACCTATACAGATGGAATCAGAGGAGATCCTCTCGCGAATTATCCTCGTGGTTTCGATTGCTTCCATGGTTGGGTCAGGATGGATCATTATCAGCTTCCTTGTGAGTATTAGTCCAAGGCGTATGCCTGCCTGTCTGTTTCTGACACGCATCAGGTCATACCCAGTCTGCGCACTTTCCGTCATCAATTGATTTTAGGTGCTGTCTTTCCGTGGATAATACAATATAACTGCAACTGACAGTGTTAGGTCTCGGGATCAGTGAATTTCTAGCCGCAAGCAATGTCGTCATCTCAGCTGGTCTGAATACATCGGGCATCGAGATATGGAATCCATCCCTCAAGACTTTCTGCGGCTTCAATGGACTCATGGCTCAGACCTTTTTGGTGCAAAGTAAGGGTCGCAATATTCATTCCTGACGGTAATATACTAATTGATAGTACTGCTAGCCGACTATTGGATTCTTTCGATTGCAATCTGCACGTACCTCATACTGATGGACTATGTTCACGCTGCGTCGTGGGTCCAGAACCATAAAACCGCCCTCTGGTGCATTCCATGGGGTCTCTCAATCCTATGGGCTGTGCTTGGCCTTGTCGTCGTCGGATATGGGTATGCCGGTGGCTGTATGTCCCCTTGAACTCTATGGCCTTGAGACGCACGATTGATAGAGATCAGGGTGCTGGTTCACCAGTGATCGTGTCCGACTCTTCGTGAACTTCATCCCACGATGGACTATCATCCTTGTCATCCTGTGCATTTACACCCGACTATGCCTCTTCCTCTACCGGTCTCATAAAGCCCTCTCGAGCGACCAGGAAGTTACTCTGCAGACGCCGCATCCACACCAATGGCAGCTTCTGGATATCGGTGACGGACCTACCCCAACTTCTCATTCGGCGATTCCACTGAAGAAGGTTAGTCTAGTCACCTTAGTATCGGTGTTTGCCGGTCTCATCCCAATGATCGAATGGTTAGGTGTCACTCCAAATGATGGTATATCCGACCGTATATGCATTGATCTGGATCATCCCCACTTCCGTGCGCATCTATCAAGGGATGACGGGAAAGCGCGCTCCACTGGCACTGGAGATTCTAGAAAAGGTGATCGAAGAAAACGATGGCCTGCTTTGAACTTTATTAACGGAGGTCTAGATCTGCATTATGTCACAGGGCTTTGTTGATGCAATTATTTACGGTAAGCGATATAAGCAGTTAGTCTCCTTGCACAGCGCTGACTGAAATTACAAGGGTTTAATGAGCGTTCCTGGACTGGCTGGAGGGACTGGCTGCATGGGTTAGGAGAATGATCGAGTCAATGGGATGACGACGGTGACATAACCACTTGCAGTTTAAATTGTTTAATGACTATAGTTTTTTGTAGTAAGGTAAATGATCTACGGCGTGGATAGCCCTGGCACCTGCTCCGACGAATCATGCATGTTTCCAGCCAAGCTTCCAACAGCATATTCGGACTTGACCACCGTCTGTTCCAATCATACTTGTGAGGGCCTTGTAATAGATGGGCGATCCAAGGGCTGTCTACACTCCTGGGCTCGGATCTACCGTGGAACCACCACTGTTGGAGGCCGGCTCAGTCTGCCGGGCATTTCCGAGGCAGGGATGAGATCCTTCATCCTGGGCCAGATCATTCTAAGAGTCCATCACCAGTAAATCTGCCAGTATATTCCCGACACAGTCCGGAATGAGAATGAATTGGTGGTTTCTTAGGCAGATCAGGTAGTGGTAATGTGCTGCAATGGTAACAACACGACGATTAAAGACGGAAGTTTGACCAGCTTAATTGCACAATTGGAATTCTATGAAATATCCATATAGTTCATAAGTTATCTGAAACTATTGATCTGCCGACAAAATCGTGATATGGCTCGATGGCTGGCCAACTGGTGGGGAGACGGAGAGCCCGTGGCTCCGGGCCGCGTTCGTCTCATTGCGCTTTCTGCCGCCATGACGAGTGTAACCCTGACTGCGATACTCACCT